TCTACAGATATAAACATTTATATGTTTAAGTTCACTGTATGATGTCCTATACATAGAATCGTAGAGTGGTTAAGAGTTGGAAGGGAACTTAAAGATCACCTAGTTCTGCCCCCCCGGCCCTGGGCAGGGACACCTGCCAAAAAGTCTTGGGGAATATAATCGTATCCTGCTGTGTCAGCAGACAAAAATTTGTAAGGGCATTGGTACTTCTCTAGATAGGTCTTAAAAAGAAAAATCTTCTGTAGGTGGTCTTAACAACGGTAGGGCAGCATAATAAAGTGGGCAGGACTTCCTTAAAAGTCTTAATTTTCCTGAAAGGAGAAGAGGAAAAGGTAAAAACTAAAGGCCAGTACATCCCAAATGGCAGGAGTGTCTCAAACGCTACTCCTGGCTGACACATGGAATCTTACACCAGAGCAAAATAACGTGCCTGCATGAAACAAAACACACAGCCCATATAAACTCACGCAGCCAGGCCAAATGTCTTCGGAAACTTTGCAGGGTAAACAGTTCACATGTGCAGCCTGATCAGGTAGTGTCTGCCCTTGCGCAAAGTGCCACAGTGGTGGCCTAAAAGCATGAAACCGCCATTGACGCCGGTATTGTGGCCTCTGGCTAAACCAACTGAAGTACAACCGCGTGCTTACGCGTGGCTGGGACTGAATCGATATTGGTGGTTATCTGACAACGTATGCATCACTATGGGCCAGGGACCCTTGGTCTGTCTGTGTGACAGAAGAATTCTCTTTATATTCCTCATTCAGAGCAGGCAAACTCGAAGTTTCACAAACTCACTTATCTTCCTGTAGTAACTCTACATTGGCTTTGCATCTGCTTTGCATAGAGTTCAATGCCAGGAAAAGCCACAGGAAAATTAACTCTTGTCTCAGCTTGTCTGACACTCTGCTACAGGGAAAGCTCACTATTTATCTTGAGGCTGGAGCTGTATTTTACATTTCCTCCCCCCACACCTCGCAACTGCTGGTGGGTGCTGAAAGCTCATATATTCTCAAAATGTCATTGACTTTATTGTATTATGTTTAGGATTGGGCAAATCTGGGTAGCGTACATATGTAGCTGATGGGATTATTCTTGCATTCGGGCCTAATGCTTGATATCGTAAGGGAAGCATCGTGTCAGAGTAAGGAGCCGTGACTGGTGATTTGCCCTCAAAGATCCATATCCACGGAGGATCCAGAAGACTGGGACTGGAATATTTTGATGCAAATGTGAAGAAGCCTTTGAATTGATGAATATGCTTTAACTTAACAAAAGTATTCAGCTCTAGCATACTGAAGTGTTTTGGGATTTGAGGATGAGCATCTGCTTTGCCGGTGTTCAGCATTCTCTGGGTAAATTGCACTGAAGAAACAAAGTCGGTAACTCATATAACAGCACTCCTGCAAAATTTAGGAGGTTTTGCATTGCTTGTGCTGACTTTTCACAAGCTTTCATATCAATATCAATGCAGTGTATGGGCTGACAATATTTTTGATCAGCTCATTTATTTCAGCTTGTTTTCAAACCACTTCACACATAAGCCTGAGAAGATATTTCTAAACAAAATTTAATTAAAGCAAGCAGCAATTTCATAATAGACATTTATAAACAAATCTGTGCACAAAAAATTAATAAAGCTTTGCATTCTGCTTTCTCCAGAATCCCAACAATTCCTTTTCCCTCCAACTGTATGCAAAATGATTGTTTGTACATTTCAGTGAGATCGTATGGAGATACGTCGACTCAAACTGTCATCGGGACCTGAAGTTTTCACAGAGAAGGTTCCACCAAAGGCAGCTGCTCTCTGGATGCTCTTCTGATCCCAGCTGGGACTGTGTGTGGGTTTAAAGATGAACAGTTTCTCCTGAAATAAAGCCCTGTAGATGAGAACAAACCATCCAAGCCGTTTGTGGAACACCAGCATTTTATGGAGAACAGGGCAAGTTTTCCTGTTACGCAGGCATTTTCCCACTGTATTAGGAAGAACCACAACACACAAATAGTTTTCCTAGGGGGGGGCAAAATACGAAAGTGAGATCCGGCTATCCTAAAACTGCTGATCAGGGCGTTTACCTCAGTTACCGAGCATCTGCATTCAAATCCTTTCTCTGCCTCTTTCACACCACAGATGGGAATGTGGGTTTCCCACATCCCAAGCTTGTGGTTTTACCGCCAGACTACTTGTTCTTTGAAAGCAGGTCTTTCTTTTGGTTTTCACATCTGCTCATGTGAGGTAGCTACTCAATAAGCAAACTGAATCACTCCGTTTTAACTCTCATTTGTGAGATGATATCATGTTACACCATCATATGTATTTTTGCAGGTCTTGTTTATTGAGGCTGTTGGGAAACAATCTAATAAGAACATTTAACACAGAAATGACCAGGTTACTAACACCTAAATCACTGGGAGAGGAGAAATGGGCATCATAGTTCCTCAATTTCTTTTTCCCCAGTCCGTGACAACGTGTACCCTCCCGCTGCATATGAGTATCCTTACAGAAGTTCCAGTAGGAGTCCATAGGACTTCTGTCACTGATTTCAGTGACAAAACAGGTCTCATTTCAAGAATACAAGAAAAGCTCATCTGATCCTTTGTGGTCTCTGCCTGAAGACACACCATGTTTAACACAACAGCTCAAAGATGTGTTTGTTTTCCACCCGAGTCTTAACCCCTTAGCATGAGGGAGTCGCGCTGAACGACATCACGGGGGATTTTGGCTCATTTACGTGACTTAATCACAGCACCATACTTTCCAAATTAGCCAGCACAGCCCCAGAGGATTAATGCCTTGGATGCTCAGTTGGGTCCGGCCCAAAAGCAGAGCCCCTCTGAATGAAAAGAAGCTGGAAGCGGTCACACGCAGTTGCAGAGAACAAAGCTCCAGCCTCTTCCATTAAAACTCTTGCATGCCAGATGTGTAGACACACCATATTTATTTTTGACCTTCCAATTTAAAGAGGGAAAGCAGAACAGGCCAAATTAATCCCTCGTGTGAGCCAGTTGACATGGCTGGAGTCACCCTCGGGATAAGCTTTGTTCAGAATAAGGTTCGCCACCTTTGTCCGAGACCTGGCGAAGTGTTTCAAAGGAATCTTACTGCTTGGGATGTAACGCAGGCGTATAAATGACATTATAGTGTATTAACCAAGACGTTAGAGCCTCGCAATTACAGGGAATTATGTTTTTGCCCTTTTAATAAGAGAACAGTCTTCACTATGCAATTGTTAACTTGCTCCCCCCCCCCGAAAAAAACCCTGTGTTAATTAACTTTGCATACAGAGCAATCCGGTAGCAAATAACAAAGCCTCGCGATTTTATTTTGGAACGAGTGAAAACCGACCAACTTTTAACAGGCGCCGAAGTTCCCCAGCAGTTCGGCAAGGCCTCTGCTGACATTTTCCTGAGCGGCTACGGATACAAACGCCTTTTCACGTTTCGCCTTACGCCTTCACCCCGGCCGGCCAACGCGCTCCCCTCAGGTACAGAGCCCGA